ACATTTGAAAGCCTGGCAGGGTGATGCTTTTGGCGCATTGGAATTTAAAAAGGAATCTTGGCTCAGGAGGAGAAGGAAGGCTTCCAGTAATATAGCTGGTAATTCAACAGACATTTCAGATAAACAAAAAGTCAACTCATTTATAACTCATGTGTAAAAGAAAAGCAAATATCAATGTCTACTATTTCACTTCATACAGATTTTTTGAGATCGCACTGCAAAAAAAATATTTCTTTCAACATCTTTCTGGTCATGTGAATGACACTTAACATTTTGTTTTGCCACTAAAGCTGATGTACATTCATCACTGCAAAAGTTTCAAGCAACCAGAACAAACAATATTCATTTTTATAAAAAAACCTATGTCTAAGATTACAGTGAAACTTCACTAGAGTCCTGTAGCATATTCGTTAGAGCACTCGCCTTCCAAGCGAGAAGACCTGGGGATGATTCCTAGGCAGGACAAAATATTAGGAAACATTAGGCAAGTTTCCTTACTCCACATGTCTGTTTACCTAGCAGTAAGTAGGAACATGATTGTTAATCGATTGGCAGATCACTAACTGGGGGGTATAATCCATTCAAAAAAAATATGGTCACTCTAACCACAACTGTTTGTGGGATACTGCTGTGCGTAATTGGCTGCCGAGTTTCACCCCACAGTCAATTCACTTTATAGTATATTCTGCTAAATGCTTTGAGACGTCTCATAGACGCGATAGAGCGATATATCAAATTCAAGGATTATTATTCACATATCTCACAGCACAGAAGATACATCAGTTTGGCTTTTCTGAAAACCAAGAGGCTCAAATCAACGTCACTTGAAAAATCGGTGGTTTTTCCATCAGTGTGACACTAATGAAATGCAACACAAGCCAAAAATGTGCAGTGATTAGTGTTCAGGACTCCTGGTTGCACCACCCTGGTCACATATCTAACCAAATGAGCCAAACTATTAACATGCATCATCCTTCCAGGACTTTATTCAGAAATGGAAATCACAGTACTGAGACTGATTAGGGTTGGGTTTGATATATTCTCTTGCATTTTAGCCAATTCATTCCAACTGCCAAAAGGACCGCAAATCACATGGAAACGCTTGTACAAATACATTGACTTCAATGATGAAAACGTCATTAATAGATGGATTCTTTACTTTTTCTTCATGTGCTGTTTTCGCCGTGAAGGGTCATCTTACTTCTATTCGATACAGAGTGGTTAAGTTGTCAAACACTGGTGATTGTTATGTTTTATTGAAAATTTTAATTTGAAAAAAATGTTTGCCAAGAAAGATTAAATATAGTCACCTAGCCTGAATTATGCTCATCCAACTCTGCATGTGGTAACATACAGGAAATATCGTGCACACAGAAGTAGGTCAGCCTAAAAACATATTTTGGGGAAAAAATAACACACTGGAAACTACCATCAGAAAATATTTCTTTGCGAGAAAAAAACCCCAAATGTCAGTGGCTTTCATCACATCGAACTGACTCTGTCTTTGTTCACTGCAGTTGAGGCACATGTGGGAAAGATACTCCACCCTGCAGCTGTTGTACAAGCTGAAATGGATACAAGGAGTTTGATCCTGACAGATAAAGGGAATAAAGCCAAAAGAAACTGAATACCTACATTTCTAGGGTTGTACCTAAAACAAATAGCAGTAAGACAGACAAACCTTTTTTTGTCTACGAAAAAGAAAAACTTCTGCTCCTCGGTGCTTTATTGTACTTATTTTCATTTAAATAAACTTCTGCACTTTCAAAGTTGAGTTTTACTTGAGTATGTATCACCCCACAGCACCTTGTACAAAGAGTGAACCTGAGCACAATTTTAAAATAAGCATCCACAAGTTAGACAAATCCAGGTTGCCACATTGTGTTTTTTTTACTCCCCATTAATTGCTGTTAAGACACAGATTCTCCTTTCTGGAGGATGTTCTGGGTTGAATACACACATCCTACAACTGGCCTGGAAGCTTTCTGTAGATATCTAACAACATTTAAGTTGTTAATTACTGATTCCATACCACAATACATCTCCAACACATTTTGTCATTCAGTGTTTGGGCAAAAGATTCATGGTTGCACATGCACACATACCAAATTCAGAAACTCAACCATGGTGCGTGTGCGTGCATGTGGTGGTGAGGAAGTATACACAATGCTGAACAATCACTTTCACATCTCCAAGAGAGTGAATCAGACAGCCATCGGGTTTGGTTTAGCCAAGCTAGCCAGAAAATTCCTCCAGGGAAGAAAGCAGAATAACAAAATAGAAGAATCTCACAGCCCTTACAAACAGAAAAAAAGGAAACAAAGGGAGGTTGTGAAAGTGTCTGGGGTATCAACTGGAAGAGTTCAGCCAACATAACTGGGGAAAGGTTAACAGAGGGTGTGGTTTTAATAAAGACGAGATTAGAGCAATCTTAGGAAAGGATCAGAGCAAGCTAAAGAATATGATGGGCAAAAGTAAACTTAATCAATTAAAGAAAGTAATGATCAAAAATAGATGGACAGGAGAAATATTATTCATGGTGTTGAACCGAACGATATATGGGCCACAGAGGAGATAGAGAGCATCGATCCATCTGCAGCGTTAGTTTATCCTGGTTACAAACATTACAGCTGCCAGGAGCATCTCATCTAGAAGAGATGAAATCAAGAGAGTAGACATCTATTTATAATTGGGAAACCCCAATAGAGAGAATTTCTTCAACACTCCCTTGGAAGTGACAAAAGTAATTAGGTCACAAATTCCTTTTATTTTGCCAATATATTTATTAATAAAAAAGTCATACTGTTCATGCAAGTTAATTTAACAGCGCTCCGAGAGGCTGCCCTGCAAAGAGCGCTATATAAATGCAAGTTGTTGTAATAAAGTGGTTTACTCGAAGACTTGAAGATCCAACAGCACTGTTTGAAAAGAGAAGGGAGTTTCTCCTGGTGTCCTGGTCATCAATCCCCTGCTTAAAATTGCTTCATTTACCTCCTGGATGTTTGTGAGAAATTGCTATACACAAATTGGCTGCCATGCTCACCTTCAAATATAGTCATTATACGTGACAATAACTACTGTCAAGCACGTTGAGATGATTCATTGCAATATGGTGCGATATCAAGTTTGAGGTTTATTTATTTGTTATGATTATTTGAAGACAGCTGTAATAAGAGTTTCAACTAGAAAGTATCCCTCATCAAGTTATCTTTGATTTGAGCCCTTTAGTTAAATTCCCTGCGTCAGTCATTTGTTGGTGTGACCCATTCCAACAGGGAAGGGCTGCAGCTGGTTCCGATTATCCAGAAAATGTTCCTCTGGCATACGGTCCATTGGACAGTCTAAACCAGACGCCTCCTATGAAGTTTGTGTTCTGGAATCAATCCATCTGGATTTTCTCCAGGTTCATCAAGACTCCTAAACTGCCTGAATAGAAGCACTGTGCTTCAATGCTCTGATCTCATTGCGAATAGGTGCTCTTACAATCCAGCTAAGGCTACACATGGAACTTCGGATGGCAGAGGTGGGCTAGCACCAGACTGGACCACAGAGAAAAGCTACAACTACTACTTGCTGAAATCCAAAAAGATTCTTCCTGCAGCCTCTGGCAAGGACATTGAAGTGTTCCAACTTTTAGATCAGTAATGTAAACCAAACTCTAAGTCACATAATCCCACACACTGCTAACAAAACAATAGTTATCGTTGCTAACAGATTCATCACAATTAAAAAAAAACTCTTGCACCTTGGGGAATAAGACATTTAATTCTTAATGAGGTGCTGGAATCCGTGAACCTTTCCGGTGTGAGAATATAAAGACAGAAAATTCACTTCTCTCCCCAGAATGAAACAAGAAAAGGGAAAGGAAAGCAGAATAATGAATAAAATGTTAATGCACAACGCATGATGGTACTACAAAAGGTACAGTGAGCTATTTTTGCCCATTGTTCCACCATTTTATTAGGCCATGGCAACCTCATTTCCCTGCCTTTTCTCTATATGCTTAACTATGAAGTATCTATCAAATCCTTACTGCTCAATTAATCAATCTCCCTTTTAAAAATTCCAATCAACTTTGCATCTACTGCCTTCTAGGACAACTTCCATATTCTCACAGTCCTCTGTGGGTGAAGAACGTTTTCTGAATTCACTTTTAATGACTTAACTATTTTCAGATGGTGTTCTTTTGTTTTGGAGCCTTCTATCAGAGGGAAAAAGGCATTCCTTCACAAAAAAGGATCTTTATCCGACATGAACAGCTGGACCACCATCATTCAAGTACTTCCCCAGAAAGTGACTAGCCAGTCTTTTTCATGGCTTTCTTGTTAGCAACTTTATTTCCTCTAGTAAGATTAAAATCCTGCTGAGAAGGTATATTATTGGCAAAAAAAGTTGTCGATGGGAAAGGTGAAGAGGAGGAGAAGGAGAAAGCAAGGGAAACATTTGACAATTCCTCCAAGCAATGTCCTGGACTCTAGGTATTGCTTACAGTTACCCGAGGCCACAAATAACTCAAGAGGAAGATGATAAATTTAGCAGCTGAATTTTGCTTGGGCGTAAACATCGTTCAACTTGCTTCCAAGAAGATCAGTTACCTCTTTAATGCCAACACACATCTTTTCACCTTAATAACTCTTGACAAAAATCAAGGGGTTGAAATAGCTGGAGGAGGTTCATCCAGCACCTCAGTCACATTCCTGTATGGAATACAAGAGAAGGCTTGTCTGCTCAGTGATCCTCCTCACCAACCTTTCCACACTTTCTCATCTCTCTATTTTAAAATCAATATTCTCATTGCATCTCTGAACCTTCCTCCTGGATATTCTCATGCTATTGAAATCAAGGTTCTTAACTCAACTCTTTTCCAAGACCTCAAGGCTGTGGAACTCTGTCAGTCTTCTCTTTGTTATAAGAGTTTTATAAACAACCATGTTTGTTCCCCCTAATATTTGAATGCAAATACAAACGTTCCATTCCCCTGCCCAACTTCCATTACTTACCATCAAACTTTCTATATCTAGATGCAAATGTTGATTGTAGTTTGTCACTAGTTTCCATCACAGCATGTCTGAAATCATGCTGACTTTGATGGCTGAGCTTTTCCTCCATTTCTGAAGTGCAGCAGGTGTAGCCTTGGGGACATACTTTTAGGTGTTCTCCTATATAAAGAGAAGAAATATTAGAGTTGTGCCAAATAATAAATATTTCCAGATCGACCCCTCATCCCCCGGTTATGAGCAAGCAGTCAAAGCACAGTTTNAAAAAATTACAATAAAAATATTGTTCTGAAATCTTACATCTTAACAAAAATAAAAATCAAAGAGGATTGAAGGAAACAAGATTTAAAATTTGTATTATTTTTCATGGAGAATTTCTCCCATTAGAATTACTAGGTAAGATCCTAATCCACGCATTTATCACATCCGGGTTAGACCACACCAACTATCCGATTGCCAATTACCCGCCTTAAATCCCTCCATGGTCTTGCCCCACCCTTCCTGTGCTTCAGGTCCCCCTCCCACCATCAGCGATTGGGTTTTCAGTGCATCTGGCTCCATCCCACAGTCCCTTCAACTTGCCCCTTCCCTTGTCCCCTTCAAAGTCCATCTCAAAACTTTCTTCTTTGACTGTGTTTTCAGCCATCATTCCTCCTCCACTTCCCCTGGTTCAGGTGTAGACTCTGGACTGTCCAATGACTTTGGACATCATCCCAATAAGAAGGTGCTATCAAAATTTAAATTCATATTATAGTTCCTAGAGTGACAAAAGAGATCAAGTACACACCTGCCTGAATAGCCCATTGATATGGTAATGTTTGGCATGAAGCCTACCCTGACTGAATCAGTCAATTAAGTGTCATGAACTTACTGACAGACTTTACTTGATGTACTTTAAAATGAGAACTAGCAAGAGTATTTATTTGAGGGACTTCTTATAATAAATAATATGCTCCACTGATAACTCAGAGGGTAAATGAACATGGTGATCATCAAGGAAGAAAAATCTAGTTAAAATATCCAGCCAACCATAACAAAAATTATATTTTGTTATATGGGAAGCCATGGTAAAGTGATTGCAACATGATCAAGACAAATGTGGTATCAGCATCCAGCAGTTTGAGATTGTTTTCGCTGTAATGAACATCTGAGTAGAAAAGTAATCCCAAAATTAATTCCCAAAGTAATTCCTTGTTCCCTGAACCTCACTACTGAGCTCAGGTTCCTCCTTTCCATGGTCTATCCCATTACATAATGAATATTTGGTCCTCTCCGTTTTCCACAAGAGTAGAAAACACTAAAAAGTTAAAGAACAAAGCATTCTCCTGCCNAAAAAAGGCCCTTAGTCCAGCTGGAGTGGAAAAGGGAAGAATAAAGTCATGGGAAAACACTTAACCTTTTTTTTGTTCTCTATATGCTGCCTACACTGCAGTATTTGCAAACCTGCCAGTGAACGGATGTGCATCACACCAACCCACAGGAACTCTGCTCCAATGTAGCATTCAGCAAAAATTTCTCACATCCTCTTCTGAAGCCACAGCTGTCCATATGAAGCTGAGCTAGTGTTTGATAGAAGTATTTTTCTACAATTTTGCAATAAAATAAAATTTGACTTTTCACTGAGTTGGTTTAATTTCCGCAACTGCTACCTTCCTACTGACTGCCTTTGAAAAAGGTTAAAGCCCCACGAATAATGATGGTACTAACATTTTAGACAAAGGGACCAACGTAGTATTGTAATTTAAAAATACCAGTTCTTAAAACAAACTATTCTTAAGTGAGAAAACCAGGCCCAACTCTGCAGTAACTGTGTTGAAATACAGTATCAAGAACTTTAACCTCTTTGTTCCAGGTGATATGTTGACACAAAGTATACAATACAAGTTTGCTGTTCTCCAACATTAATTAACTAAAACTCCAATTTACATTATTAAGGATCAAAGTGAAATAAGTGCCTCTCTCATTTAACATTCTATTTTAAACAGTGTTCAAAACTTTGTGTATGTGTGTGAGGAGGTGGAAAACATAACTTGAGTTCCTTTACAAAACATTTAGAGTTTGTGAATATTAGTTTTGAAGAAAAGGGGGTGAAACATGCAAAGCTAAGCATCAACTAACGTCTTATTATTATTATTATTTAATAAAACTGCTTTTGTTTCTAAATGCAACAAAAAACGTTTCAGATTTTTAAAAATATACCAACGTAAGTTCACACATAATGTAAATACCCTGCAGTCTTAAATTGCGATAAGTTTCTATTTTACTGTAATATCTCAAAATATATTTATGCACTACTCATATATCCTTTGCTGACCCACACTACATAGGGTTGTAAGGTTAATTATCATTTCAAACTCACAGCCAATCCCTACAATTCAATTCAGTACAGGAAACTAGACATTCAAAAGGCATGGTACCTAAGAAAAGTCAGAGGTTCTCTCAACAAATACTATTGAAACTTTGCTGGGGAAGGAAGGGGGAGAAATCAAAACCAGTTGAGGTCTACATTAAAACCGTATGGTGTGCTTTGACTGGATTATTCTCTCCCAGTTGACTGTAATCAAGGTGACCAATCTTAGATTCACAATTCTCTTCTGATAACGCTCACAGAAATACCAGCACAATGAACATCATGTCTGAGATGATTTTTTTAAAAAACATGTATAAAATAAACTACATAGCATTGAGGTTTCTAAAAAATTGTACACAAGTGAATGTTTTAAGAAGAAAAATGATTTCTATTCATTTCATCCCATCTTTGAAAATTTCCCATATTGACATAGGTCAGTGGTCGATGACTAATGAAGTCACAGAAAGCCACTCTAAGCTGCACTTGTTCATAAGCTCCACTCCAAATAGCAAAAATGGAAAGCAAAGTAATCAATTTCAGCCACCAGACAGGAAACACATTCCAGGCATTGACTGCCTGCGTACAAAAAACATCTGCAGTTTTACACAACCCTCCTTAAATAGTTAAGCTGTAATGAAATTGCACCTCAGATGGACAAAGTAACTCGTCCACCTTAAAACCAGCAGTCATACTCCACTGCCTTAGTGAAGTCGGCTGTTGACTCATCCTTTCAATTTAAATGATGCATGCAGTATGTACAGCTTTGAATTGCAATCCTGAACAATATGTATTTTATCATTCTCTACTTGTAGGAACTTGACCCTGTCTGAATGTACCTCTGTATGTGTAGATCAAACTGCCCTGTGAAACAGGCTGAAAAAAAATGAGGTAGAACATAGTGTAGAAAGATTTAATAGACTTTGCTAAGTATCATTAAATAACATATCCATGAAATGTAGCACCTGTTCTATTTTGTGGATGCTGACGTTAACTCTCAAATTGTCCATCATCTTGGAATTTCAAGCCTAATCCATGGCTGCCTATGCTTTTCAGCACGGCTGCTCCAATAACCATTCTGACTTGCCTATGTTAGTTGTTATTCCTGGAACATTTCAGGTGACTAATTCACCATTACTTTCAAGCTCTCCAAACTGATAGGGTTTGATATGTGGTCTTTCAACCACTTCCTGGATTCATGAAAGTATATTTCNAAAAATCAACGTAAATAGAGCAGTTTCACTTGATCCACCCACAAGGATTAGTGTTATTAGATTGATCTACTATATCAACTCACTTTGCAATTATCAGTTAGCATTAATAATTGTCTACCATTGATCAAGAGACACATCTAACCACGTTCTTGACCAAAATTGACAAAGAACCACCAGTGCTTTCATCCATTAGGCCCACTGACTAAAAGCACAGAACCTACTTCAGTAGAGTGTGCTTTAAGTTTAGAAAATCACACACACACACAGTACCTTACTGTTCTATACTAAGTGTAGAGAACTACATTCTATACCAGAATAAAGCTGAATCCATTATTCCTTAGAGGACCCCTCGCTCCAACTATGCCAAACAAGAGAACAGCTGTCTATATGAAGCTGACCTAATTTAGTCAGTCATGAAGGGCATTCTCAAAGCCCACCATCACTGCAACCATCCATGTTATAATTCACCAGTAAACTCCACCCAACTTCCCTGGTTTGAATTGGCCACTTCATTCGGAGCAGTTCTGCTCTCAGAGTAATTATCCAAATGAATGATCTTATTCTAACTTTGGGCAAAAAAAATGTTCAGAAAACCTAAGTGGTTTGTTTTTAGAAATAAAATTTTAAATTAAGTAGAAGGGTGGTTTAGAACGTATTGTGCCATTCAGCAAGCACCAAACCGGTTTTTCCAACTTAGGCAGAGTATTGTGGCAGTCACTAAGTAAGAGGAGACATATACATTGAGTGGAAGTTAAGAAATTAAAGATGTAAACTTGCACTTTGCTCAGACCCTGTCAGTGTGTTGTAGGGTGAGTGTGCCCCATTCCACATTCAAGTCTCCGTTTTGATGGCCTTTCCACCAACTTCCTCCAACCCACAAATGGTTCCATGTGACGTCCCTGTAACTGATCGCTGTACACTTTGTGTACAGCGTGTACACCAGGCTGGAGGCATGGGATAAGAAAGTGCTGAGTACCTGTTCTTCCCTCTTCATTGTACCCCAAAATGGCACAAACAACCTCAGGCGCCGACACCATCAGCATCCAAGGCTGCACTCTCCACCTCTCAAAGCCAGTCAGGAACCTCGGCGTTTTGTTCGACCCTGAGCTGTCCTTTCTCCCTCACATCCGCACCACAACTGGCACCGCCTTCCATCACCTCCAGAACATCGCCAGACTACGGCATTACCTCACCCCTCACGCTGCTGAAACCCTGGTCCACGCCTTTGTCACCTCAAGGCTGGACTATGGGAACTCTCTCCTCGCCGGTCTTCCCGCCACCTCCCTCCACAAGCTGCAGGTCATTCAGAACTCTGCAGCTCGTGTACTGTCCCGCACCAGGCTTCGGGACCACATCACTCCCACCCTCGCTCGCCTCCACTGGCTCCCCATCCCCCAGAGGATTGATTTCAAGATCCTCATCCTCACCTACAAAGCCATTCACGGCCTTGCTCCCTCCTACCTCTCCAACCTACTATCCCCCTACCTACCTGCCCGTACCCTCCGTTCCTCCGGCTCCAGTCTGCTCCACGTCCCCCGCCCCAATCGCCCTACCATCGGTGGTCGGGCCTTCAGCCTCTCAGCCCCGAGGCTCTGGAACTC